GCCCAGGGAGCCAGCATTGCCCAAAGACACTTCTGTGGTCATGTGGCCAGCATAACTATATGCCGAAACTCACAGAACCCTGTTACTTTTCCACCAAAGTGGTACCTATCTACTTGCGTTTTCATGCTTTCAAATTGCTAGGTGGGCAGGAACCTGGGCAAGAATGGGTGTTCACTCTGCCACGTGGTACTTGGGTCTCGAACTGCCAACCTTCCGGTCAATAAGCCCCGCATCTTAACCATTAGTTCACCGCACCCTCCCTATCTCATAGTTCTGAATTTAAACTATGTTTCAGCTCCTTTTGCTTCGGTAACGGTTCTTGTATATCTCCTCAAGATTATCTTCCTTAGTCTCTATACCTTGCCAGATAAGAGTTTTAAAAGGAAGTGGCATCAAATAGGTTTGGAGACGATCGTGTTGTGCTCCTAGGCCAGGGGTAGGCATAAGAGAGGGTACCCTACCTATTGATCCTATTACAGCAGAAGCGGGAGGGATGGGGGCTTTCACTCAGAATAATCTATTAGTTAATGGGAGCAAGTTCTGCTTTGCTGGCTGTTGCTCTGGTATCTGCCATTGATGCCATGGCAGCACAGGTGGGAATGAGAGGGGGGGGGCATGGCGGAATCCAAGGTGTGTTCAAGTGCCCAAATGGAGTTATAATAAATGGGCATTTTTCATTGCACTGAAAACAACATCCAGATGCCTACCGAAGTTTTATCTAATGAAATATCTGCTTTCTTCTGGATATATATATATATATACTGTATGACATTTGTTCCTGGTGCTCTACTGTCCTCTGCTTTTCATGTCATAAGCTACCCAGAATCTTGTGGAGCTGAATGAACGATGCAGTGGGAGAAAGCCTTCTTTAAGAAAACAGTTCAGGACTAACCTTAATCTTCCATCCATTTTAGCCACAGATCCTGGAGCCAAGCTGTGAATATATATACCAGGAAGGCTGTTTTCCAAGGTGAGGCAGCAAGCACCAATGCCCAGGCCAACCCCAGGTTCTGTGATGAAATGAAAACAAAGTTGAGAATAATTTAACTTAAACGTTCACTGGAATAGCCACAAGGCATAAACGTACTTCTTAAGAATTGTCCTTCGTAGGAAACTGTAAAAGTATTTGAAAGACAGGACATGGTATCCATAGATCTTGAAATGGCTACTAAGAGCCTTTGAACCAGTTCCTAGTCATCCACTGCAATAAGTCAGAGTGGATCAGGAGAAGTTTTCGCTTTCTACTAAGGATTTAAAGGACGACTTTAAAGCAATGAGAAGACTATGCTTCTCTCAGTTGCTGTATTTTCTTCATTTGGCTTCGACTCTTCCCCCTCATTCCCTCAAATTACGACAGATTGATAAAAGCTGATAGGAAGTGAGACAAAGTTACAGAAACATTTGATTCTGTGGTGATTCTTGACATCTCTCCACCCCAAATGTGCTTATGCCCAAGAGCCAAATGTAATAAAAGAAGCCATTACAAATACTTTCCTTGTTTATTCCCTATATGAAATGTACCCTTCTTGTTCTCAGGCTCGAAATCATGATGAAATATCTTTCCAGGGTCTAACTGTACATTCTTCCAGTGAAAATTCCTTGCAAAAGCTGGCAAAGAGTATGTATTATAAATTTAAAACAGATTTAACCTGATTTTCTACTCAAAGCTTGTTTATTAATCTGATTTGTTCTTTCCATTGTTTTTAATCAGAGCACCATCACAACATTAGTAAAATATAACCATTCGGTTAATGCCATTTGGAAGACAATGGAGCCCATGGGAAGGATTCGGGGGGGGGGGAGAAGAAGGGAACAGGTTGAAAATCAATTATAAGATAGGAAACTCCAAGCAAGATAAATACCATAAAATTATTCTAAATCTGAGAAGGTATTGAAGCCATTCTGAAATGATTTTACGGAGCAGGGACCTCATTTTGGTGGAAGCAAGCACCTTTCCTGCCTCTCTTAGTTACCCCATCATGATCATTTGAGATAATTTGTCATAAAAATGAATACAAGTAGTCCTTGACTTATGACCACAGTTGAGTCCAAAATTTCTGTTACTGAGACAGTTGTTAAGTGAGTTTTACGACCTTTCTTGCCACAGTTCATAAGTGAATCACTGCAGTTGCTAAGTTAGTAACCTGGCTAAGCTACGTGAACCTGGCTTCCCCACTGACTTTGCTTGCCAGAAAGGCGCAAAAGGTGATCACATGACCCCGGGACACTGCAACTGTCATAAATATGAGTCAGTTGCCAAACGTCTGGATTTTGATCACATGACCATGGGGATGCTGCAATGGTTGTAAGTGTGAAAAATGGTCATAAGTCACTTTTTTCAGTGCCGTTGCAACTTCAACAGTCGCTAAACGAACTGTTGTAAGTTGAGGACTACCTGTAGATTGCTGGCCTTTTCGGCTTCCAGGGATGGAAGAGGGTTGAGATCCAGTTGATCCAAGAAAGTAGCTGTAAGAGGATATTTTTCCTGTCCCTGTCCTCCCACTCTCTTTTACATCTCTGGTGCTTTTTATTCATCAAAATCTTTAAACGTGTATGTCACCTATTTCCCTAACGATTCCAGATTTACAAGGAGAAATTAAAAAAAAAACATTGTTAAATAAAAACCATCAAAAACACTGAGGAAATAAATATGGCTTCAGCCCTGGTTCATCTTTTCTGGGCTATCCTGGGAAGTCAAAATAAAAAT